AAGCAGGGAGCCCGATGTGGGACTCGATCCCGGGACTCCAGGATCATGACCTGAGCCGAAGGCAGTCGCTTAACCGACTGAGCCACCCAGGCGCCCAAAAAGATTGTATTTATTTCTCCCTCTGCCTGCCGCTCTCCCTGCTCGTGCTCTCTTGCTCTTTCAAATAAATAAATACAATCTTTAAAAAAAAAAGTTATTAGAAAGGGTAAAGCCAGGCCGTGTTCCAACCTGGCGGAGGCGGGAGCACCCCTTCCACGGGCAGCTCTGGTGGGCTGTCGCCCAGACCTTCCTCCCCTGGTTTCAGATGGGAATGCGGGCACCGCTTTCCCATGAGGAAGAGTCACACTTTTTTTCCCCCCTGCTATTACGAAGTTTAGTTTTAAACATTGTCAGGCAGCTTGCTGGGGCGGCTTCATCAGCATCCATGTACCAGGCACAAGGAGGCTCCAGCTGGGCACAGGTTCTGAAGAGCCTTATTTCAGATTTTTTTTTGACCTATATGGTGATACTCTGCATGGACTCCAATATCAGCATTCTAGAAAGACACCACCTCACCAACTGTGTTCTCCTGCTTCACACCGGAGAAGGGCTGGAACAATGAAGGTAACCTTGAAAACACTGGTTTATTTATTTAATTATTCCGGCAGGACTATTTTTTTGTACAACATGAGCTGTAGAAGATCAGAAATAAATACAGCTTAAGATTTGAACCACGTCCTGCTGTACTTTTTCTCAAGCCTGAAATAGAATTTTCTAACACCTTTTGTGGTTGGAAATACTGAATTTAAATAGGATTGCAGATATAAACAAAAAGAGCAAGATGTGGATTGATGTGCCTATTTCAGTAAAAATGCAGCCACGTTATTTCGAAATACAGATACAAAAATTGACAAAATGACAAGTGGAAAATACAAAAATCTGGAGATGTGCACTGTAGTGATAATAGACCTTTAAATAACGCTATTAGGTACTAATAAAAGACCTGAAAAACGAATAACTTATGTTGTTGAGCGTCTCTTCAGGTCATGATTTTTAAGATTAATAATTAAAAACCCCATTTCATTATTATTGATACCAGTGCCAATGACATGGGTAAGTATTCATTTTTCTTTTTAACAAAAGATAAAGCTGAGAAATCAGAAAGATGAAATAACTAGGTAAGTCTCAGCTCATGGTCAAGATTCATTTTCTTCTGATTTGTGTTAAGTCGAATTCCCATCTACCTCTAACATGCAATGTCCTTTCCAAACAAAGGACCCAGGTACCTCAGTATTACTGTGGAAGTCCCTGACTTACATTCAGTTTTGCAAACCATTACTCAGTGGTGCCTTCACTATCTGGATTAGGTGACAATCGATGTAAATGTCATTGAGTTAGGAAGCCAAAAGACAGCAACATTTGATAAATTTAGTTAGGTAATGGTAAGAATTTATATTAGATGCCTAAAATTAAACTCTTTAATTTTAACAAAGGAAGATCTACTATCATCTACTTTTGTAAGGCAAACAAGTGAAACTGATTACCCATTAATGGAAAAAATACTCAGTAGACAAGAAAACCAAGTATGTCATCATCTTACAAACACTATGGTTCAAATAGGAAAATGCAGCACCACAAAATGAGGTCTAGTCAAACTGGGTCTTGCTGCACAGATAGGAACCTGGAAATGGGACTTACAGTCATTTGGATTTTGAGCTATAAACCCAAACACACTACCTACGTAAGCCCGTCATATGGCTCAGGTCATATTACAAACTTTTCTAAGAACTTACAGGGCTGAAAATGTTCGTTTTACATCCTTGCCAGCGGATGTGGAAGACATCTAGAAAGGAAAGTACTGTGACTTTTTCTTCCCTCGGCCAGTTTGGTCAACAGATCTACACTGAAGCCAATTACAACCTCCGTTATTGTGGCTTTAGACTCAGACAAGCTATTATCCACCACAAAGAGGTGCATCAAAGACTCTCTTCTGTGTACCCTGGATTATTCCCTCAGCGGTCCCCAGGGTGAGGGGCGTGGCTTCCACAGTGACCCGGTTACCAGGTTACCAGGCACAGCGGTCGGGGGTGCGGGTCGAACAGCCACACCAGCTGAAGCGCCCGGGGTGCCCAAAGGGTGAAGCAGGCAGGGGACCAGCGACACTGTCGGGCCGTCGGGAGGAAAACAAGACAGGACTTTTTAGTGCAGCATTATTTTATTTAATGGTGCACTGTTATTTTAAAAACAAATTGTGTGTGGCTTTAAATAGCAGAGATGATGAAATAGGTTAAGTCATAAATTATGGATAAGGGCTGTGGAAGAACAGGAAGACTTTATAAAAATTACAGAGGGAGAAATAATATGATTTAGCTAGAAAACAGTGCTATGAAAAGCTTTTTCTAGAAAAAGCTTTTTTTTTTTTTTTTCTTCTTTCTGGTAGCTTTAAAGCACGGGTCATACCATTGTTCCAGCTCAGAGGTCAGCCAACTTTTTCTCTGGAACTATTTACTATCTGACAAAGAGTACCTAATTCGGCCTTTGTGGGCCATACGGTCTCTGTCTCAACTCCTTGACGCCGCTGTTGTACCTTGAAAATAGCCATGTGCCACACGGAAACCCACGGGTATGGCTTTACTCCATTTACAAAAACAAGTGGCAGGCCAGGGCTGCAGTTTGGTCTTCTAGACCAGCACTGTCCCACAGGAAAATTACAACAGCCACATGTGTAATTCACAATCTTCTGGTAGCTACACTAGAAAAATCAAATCAGGTAAAATTATTTTAATAGTTTATTTTATTTAACCCCAAATATCATTTCAACATGTAACGTAAAAACTATTAATAATACACTTTACCTTTTCTTGTACTAAGTTCTCAAAACTGTTGTGTACTGTACGCTCAGAGCGCACTAGTCAGGTTTCAGGTGCTCGACAGCCGCACGTGGCTTGTGGCTGCCAAGTTGCAGCATTATGTTCTAGAACTTCCATGCTGGGATTTCTACAACCAGTCTGGTGTAGTGACGAAGTACTGGCATTTGCTTCTTCAAAGAAAGGGGACGGAATTATGTTGCCTCGAGGGAGACAGGCCAAGGGATTACAGCTACTGGGAAGAGGTATGTGGCCTCAGACACTCTAAGCTGAGGTGGCCCAGGATGCTGGGGCACAAATGGGTAATTAGAGCTATGATACAGTCAGATGATGTTAGCTTCACGTGTCAATGCAACAAACAAATCGAATTCAAAAAAAAATATCTGATACAGACCACAAAATGATCAAGGTGTGCACACATCACTCTAATTTTTGGCCTTCAATAAAGAATGCTAATTGTCCTTAACACAGCTGGTCTTCCGCACTGTCCCTGTATCAGAACTGAAAGTGTCTAAAAATGTGATTGGGAAGATAAAATGGAGAACTGTGTAGTAAGGGGAAAAAAAGCTTCGAAAGTAGACTGAATTTTTAAAATGATTAAAATGAACTAAGTGCTCTTCCATTTTTGTGTAACAGGGTTTAATGCTAGTTGGCGATAATTTAACAAGTTACCAAACGGTAATCTTTTTTTTTTTTTAAGATTTTATTTATTTGACAGGGGGCAGGGGGGAGAGCGCACAAGCAAGGGGAGCAGCAGAGGGAGAGGGAGAAGCAGGCTTCCCGCCAAGCAGGGAGCCCGATGTGGGACTCGATCCCAGGACCCTGGGATCACCTGAGCTGAAGGCAGGCACTTAACCAACTGCGCCACCCAGGTGCCCCCCAAAGGGTAATCTTAAGCCATAATCGTAAATTCAACCCTTGGGAAGTTCGTCAGTATTTGAACCTACCTTTCCAAGTGACCAAATCAACATTTCTAAGATAAAACCGGATAGAACCTTTTGGTAATAAAACATAGAGGCAAGTGTTTTTAACAAAAAATTTATTACCAAAATACAATATTAAAGTCAATACATGACAAACTCCTGTAAAGCAAAATAAATTATTCTAACATTGTACAGTATTTCCAAAGGTAGTTAAAGAAGCACTATAGACCTTGCTTCACTGTTTGTTGAACAGATAAACTGTCCTACCATGAACACAATCCTAGAGTTTTAGGCTTTTAAGGCATGCAGCTCGATGTGCAGGATAATTTTACAAAATGCAAATCATCCTATTTTAATAAGATACAGTGTCAGAATTAACTGTAGTCTTTACATGTCAGTGTTCCAGAAATTTTTAGACTTTGGCTATAGAAGCAATGCCATAGTGTTACACAATACTCATTTTTTAAAAAAATACATGTATTCATGTCCATGAATATCAAACTCAAATTTCTATTAAATATATTTTATAGAATATTACTTAGAGCACCTTGCTGTACAATAAAAAAAAGATTAAATAAGTGTCTATGAAAACTAAAAATATAATAAGTCTCAATAGAGAAGCCTGCTTGTCTTTGTCAAGCCAAGTACATTGTGGGAAGATACAATGTAAACATGGGTGCCCACCATCTGCTTTGTGAGAAAAGACAAAGAAAATAAAGAAGCCACCAAGAGCTACCTCGAATAGGATGAGAGATCTAGAACAAAGGCTTTTGTTCTGTCAGTGTCCGTATACCCCGCAGGCCGGACACGGAACTAAAATCTACAGGCAGGGCACTGGAAGAACACTGGGGCTGCCCACCATCTTCTGGGTTATTAGAGGAGGAGCGAAAATGTTGGCCCCCTGGAAAGTATTACTTATAATGATCAGAATGCATCGTCTTGCCCCCTCCCCACCTTTGCCTCACATCCAGTATGTTTCTTTTAAAAACTATTTTTACTATCAAATCTTAGAACTGTGTAAAGTGTTCAGAGTGGGAAACAAATACTATGAGCTTTATTATGGCAAAAGATCTACTACAAGTAAAATGTTATTCCTACAAAGATAATTCCTACTGATTAGTGTAATACCTATCTCTTCTACAATTAAAATTGCATACTTAGCCTTCATTATTACTTTTAGAAGTGTTCAATTGTTCTTGGTAGAGACAGTGGTCACTTAAGGCTTGCCACAAAATGGTAACAGGAAGGTACAGAACACCCATGGTATATGGTTCCTTCTACAGCCCCGGGGAAAGCGTTTGAGGATATTCTAGGCTAGGATCAGATGAATGTTTAAAGGTTTTGAACCTCTGGGTTAATTTTTTCTCCATGAGTTAGGTAAATTTTAAATCCATGATTCCAAATGGGAAATTTATGTAACAATCAATGGAAGTGGTTTAGGGAACTGAATGTAATTTAAAAAATTCACTATTGATGTTTTTGGGATTTTTTTGGTTATTAATATATTCCAACTGATTACATGAAATTAAAACCAAGGAAACTTTATAAAACAAAATCCTGCTACTAAGGTTGTTAATTTTTAGAATGAGTGATAAAAATGGAACCATTTAAAATATTTAAATTTGAAACGAAGTATAATTGTGTTTTAATTCTGAAAACAGGAGAAAATATATATCCACATGCAGTGAATTTGGGTGATATAATTTAGTGTATATATATAAATTCATTTTATCTTTTTTAAAAATCACCTATCAGAGTGGTATTAACTCCCATAAATAAATTAAAGCTACCTAAATCAAACAGCCGCCAAGTTACAATCAATCGTTTGTTTAAATATCATCATCAACATTAGATTTAAAAAAAACCCTTAAACAATGTTTCAAGATGGCCTGGCCCCACTTAAGTAGTTCCTGATGCGACCTTAAAAATACTAATTCATTCAATCCGTACCTGGACTTTGGGAAGGGAATTCTATCCTAAAATATGTCTACAAAATATTCCACTCAAAAAATTGTTTTCAATGTCTTCTAAGTTTATCAGAGTCACAGCCTCAGCACTAGATGTTAGAAATCAAGTTCAGAAAGAGCACCATGAAGATGGTGCACTGCATGGTGCACCGGCCTTTTGACTTGTATGCAGAATTTACTTTGACAAAACAATGCAAAAATAAATGATCAGTACAACAAAAGCCAAAACAAAAACAAAAACACCCCTCGTCTCTTCACTTTGAAACACATTATAATACAAACTGTGTAATTAATGAGAAGATCACATGTATGCGATGGCGAGTTTTAGTGTGGAAGCACTGGTAGTTGGTCTTCCATATGTCCTATTGCACACTGACAAAATGGAATAACCTAGATAGGAGAAACCCTGTGGGCTTGCCAAATGTTGTTTGTTATTAAAAGTTTTATAAACAACCTGAATTTTTACTATAGGTTAGCCACATTTGATTATACCTCTTATGCTAAGTACAACTAGATTAATAAACTCCCGGAAATAAAATCTCCACAGCAGTACTCATTCTAAGGGGCTTTTGAATTTCGCCCCTCTTCCCCCAAATGATTTTTATTTAAGAGTTCCAAGTACTTCCAAGGTCTGATGATCAAATGCAAATTTTCATACTTTGTTGCTTGAATAGACCTTTGCAATACCACACTTGGTCTAGTTTGGGAGAGAGGACTATAAAGCATGTGTAGCTACGGAGAAAATTGCAGTGTTCTGTCAAACACTTTGAAAAGAGCCTTTGGGAATGTGCTGTGCTAAACGAGTCCCCATTTTCACGAACCTTCCGATTTGGTTTGAGGCAGGTGGGAATTCACCTATTTTCTCCTTTGCTCACAAGAAATTCACTGTAAATTTAAGACAATAAGGTACTTCTTAAATGCCTATTTATACTCTGGATTTGGATTCAGAGGTCGCTTTCTTTTTTAATAAGTAATGTATCTTTAAAAAAAAGTACTGTACCTTAGACTGAGTATATGATTAAATCCTATCGATTTGGGGAAAGACTGATAGGTAGATCATTTCAAAGCCCTCTGGTATCTTATCCTTGTTGACTCTGTTGGTGATAGTGAAAACCCCTCAGACAGCAGCCCCCCACCCCTCACAAGAGGCCCGTCCCTCTAGAGTTGGCATGTCCAAGCTCAGAATGAAGAAGAAAACTAAGCTCTGTTTAAGACTGTGACACTTTTACAACAAGAAGTTTTAGAATAGTTCCAGAAAAGCTCTTTCTTAATTCTTTTGCTTGCATTTCTACACTATGATAAGCTTTGAATAATAAATACACTCAACAGTAAGAAGAGGTAACAGGGTTAACACAGGGTTACATCTTTGCTTCCTCCTCAACCCACTTCCCCTCACTCAGAATATTTAAATATCATTACCGTGTATCCACTTGGAATTTTTTTATTACACTGCAAATTTGGTTCCAAAGTCACATGCATCTCTTCCTCAAAAAAAAAAACCACCAAAAACCAAAACCCAAACACCACACCAAAACTATTTCTCCTGTGTCTAGTAAGTTACTTGATAGCGCAAAGGTGAAACCGTGGTTTAAAGGATTTCTCTTCTACCGTGTTCCTCTTCAAGTATTCAATCTAATTTGTGTTCAAAGTGGTGTTGTGGTCCTTATTGAGGATGATGTTTACGATCTCACCCTCATGCTCTTTCATATGATCCAAGAGATTTTCTTTGCTGGTAGATTCGAAGCCACAAATACAACAACAGAAGAGTAAAACACAATACTCCATGCCAGGAGGCGCCAGACTGGAGTTTTTTTCTAAACTATATGAGGTATTACTTGTAGGGCTCAGTTTCTCATTGTCGTTGGAACCTGCAACTTCACCAGGAGCCTGGGAAATCAGCTCTGAGGATGATACCAAATTTCCCGAACTTCCAGTGACAGGATCGGCTCTTTCCTCACTGCTGTTTAAGAGCATCTTTGCAGGGGATCTCCCCAGAACCCTTAAAAACAAAATAAAACACACCAAATCCTCAGTTGGTTATAATGTAAGACTAGCAGGTTTAACCCTCACTTCAGTTTACGTACAAAAAGGGAAGGGGTAAGGATCAGGTACCTGCCACTCTGTGAAATGGCATCATTGATAGCCTTGTTTACTTGTTCGTAGTTGTAATTTTGGTCACTTGCATGCTTCCACATGTGAGACTTCAAAGAAGGAGGATGGCTGCACACGTACCCACACAGAGAGCATCTGAAAGACACAGGTGAGAGTCAGAGCGATCCTGTAACCTCATCTGAAGAATTACAGTGATTCTGTAACGACTATGAAATTCCTTCTCCGGAAGCCTTATAAGACATCTTATTTCACTAAATCTAAGATGTTACTCATTGTAAAGAGACGTACTGATTTCGGAGGCTAAAGTGTCCTAGAAGAGGTATCCTAGAATCAATAAAATTAAGTATTTTCTGTCATAAAAAATTTATTAGCATCATGACAAACATCCCAGATTACCTGGGCTATTACAGTATTTGGAAAGAGTTCTAATATAGTAACATACAAAATCTTTGCTCTAAATTATTTAACCACACACAGGAAGAAAAATATACAAAATACATACTCTATACCACTTATTTTTTAGAAAATTTTTTGAGAGAGAGAGAGACAGCGAGAGAGGGAACAGAAGCAGGGGGAGGGGGAGAGGGAAAGGGAGAAGCAGGCGCCCCTATACCACTCATTTTTTAAGAAAGCAGAAAGGAGGGTGCTGGGGCGGCTCAGTCGGCTAAGCATTTGCCTTTTGGCTCAGGTCATGATCCCAGGGTCCTGGGATTGAGCCCTGCATCGGGCTCCCTGCTTAGTGGGGAGTGTGCTTCTCCCTCTCCTTCGACCCCTCCCCCCTGCTTTGTGCTCTCTTGCACTCTCTCAAATAAATAAAATCTTAAAAAAAAAGAAAGCAAAAAGGAATTAAATAATTTTAACATGAACTGTTTATTTACAGATCCACAGAAAATGGTAGTAGTCCTGAGAATAAATTAACAATTTAGATTTCATAAATAAAACTTAATAATCTTCAAAAAGTTTCTATTTAAAATAACATCTGTTTCACATAATTAGTTACACTTGGTAAAATCTGAACTGAATGAAGTATTTAAAAAAAAAAAGAATATACTTTTTTTGAATAGATTCTTTTAGCACTTTTAGGTTTATCTCCTTTCCCCTGCATCCAGTTCTCCCTCTTAGTGGTATCTTGCATCAGTGTGGAGTATCTGTTACAAATGGTGAACCAAAATGGATACATCATTATTAACAGCTGACTGTTCACCATTGGTGTTCCACAGTTCTGTGTTCTGACAATGCATAATGTCATGTAGCTATCATGACAAATCATAAAGGATAATTTCCCTGTGTGAAATACCCTCTGTGCTCTATGTATTCACCCCTCACCCCCCCCAATCCCTGGCAATCACTGATTCTTTTACTGTCTCCACAGTTTTGCCTTTTGCAGAATGTCACACAGTTGGAATCACATAGTATGTAGCCTTCTGGACTGGTTTCGTTCATTTAGCCATATGCATTTAAAGCTCCTTCACATCTTTTCATGGCCTGATAGCTCTTTTCTTATCACCAAATAATATTCCATCGCCTGGACGTACCACAATTTGTTTACCCATTCACCTACTGAAGGATATCTTGGCTGCTTCTACATTTTGGCTATCATGAATAAAGTTGCTGTAAACATATACGTGCAGTTTTTTGGATGGATATGAATTTTCATCTTTTGGGTAAATACCTAGGAATACAATTGCTGGAGTGTATGGTAAAATTGTTTATTTTTTAATTTTTCTTTTTTTAAGATTTTATTTTTAATTAATCTCTATAGCCAACGTGGGGCTCGAACTCCCAACCCCGAGACCAAGAGTCGCACGCTCTATCGAATGAGCCAGCCAGGTGCCCTGCAAATGTACTTTGTAAAAGAAAATTTTGTTAAATACTTAAGTAGAAGCCTAAGAAATCAGGTAACTTATCTGAACTCTTCACAACAATAAGAGACATGGTCACTGATAATGGAGCACAAAGAAAATAAAAATGCATAAATAAATATGACAATTAAACAGGCAAGGTCTAAACTCTCCCTCTAATCCACCTTCAACTTTATGATGGATGCAGCAGTATTAGCTTTTTATTACATGTCCTGAGGCATCAGGTCCAAGGCCAGTGAAGGGTCTTTTACCTCAAGAAATACCAGGCCAGTTAAAGGCAATAAATGTGCAATTTTTGGAAGAACTTCCATAAATTCAAACATAAAAAAGATGTACAATTTTCATTAATAAGCAGAAAAATGCATCATGCACATAAGCCTGATAGAGATGAATAAGTCTGATAATGCCATTTTTGTATAGATGTGAAGAAATGGAAATGTATAAATTGCATGTATGTAAGTACAAGCACTCTGAAGAGTAATTCTGTTAAGACTGAAGAGGCACACATCTGTGACCTTATATTCTAGTTCTAGGGTGCTACCCTAAAGATATTCTTGTGCATGTTCACAAGGGCACATGTACAAAAATCATGTAGCCATGACCAGTTAAGATTTTATTTATTTATTTGACAGAGAGAGACAGCGAGAGAGGGAACACAAGCAAGGGGAGCGGGAGAGGGAGAAGCAGGCTTCCGCGGAGCAGGGAGCCCGATGCGGGGCTCAATCCCAGGACCCTGGGATCATGACCTGAGCCGAAGGCAGACGCTTAATGACTGAGCCACCCAGGTGCCCCTAGCCATGACCAGTTTAAAAAAAAAAAAAAAAGGGGAGGCAACTCACAACCCCTGTTTTCCCACAGAAATATGGAAATAAAATGGTTTATTTTCATATAAAGGAACATTATACTGTGCCTAAAATGAAAGAACTAGATGTATACTTATCACATGAACCAATGATCAGTGAAAAGAAAAAGTAACAAAAGTATTTGTTTGGTGTATCATTTAAATAAATTGTGAAAATACCAAAACCAGTGTATATTAATACATTCAAATATGTACACACACACACACACACACACAGTAAAGTCTTGAAAAAATGCTAGGAAATGATACATATTAGTATCAGGACAATGGGAAGGAAGGGGAGAAGAAGTTTTACGTGTCCCTGTTTTATTTCTTCAAAATGTGGTAAGATGTTTGAAAGGTTTTATCATTTAAGATACTTTAAAACTGTTATACCAAACTGTTATACCATTCTAAGACTTTATAGACTGCATAATAATTTTATTACTGGCCACACACAGAAAACTAACCTTAAATCATTTTATTTTGCCTATTTATATCTGAGATGCAGTACTTTTTTTTTTTTTTCCTAAGTAGGCTCTACACCCAGTGTGGAGCCCAATGAGGGGCTTGAACTCACGACCCTGAGATCAAGACCTGAGCTAAAATCAAGTCGGACACTTAACCGACTGAGCCACCCAAGTGCCCCATGAGATGCAGTACTTTTTTGACACATCTCAATAAATCTGTTTCAGTAATATCTAGAAAAGGGCTGGCAGTTGGTGATCACTCCCATCTCCTTGCCATTAAGCTCAGTGTCCATATCTGACTATACTTGTTCGTTACACTGCGGGGTGAGTGTGCTCTGGGTACCGTCCCCGGCTCAAGTGTTTCTGGACTGGTCCCTCTGCACCACTGTGGCCTCGCACCCAGGTCTACACTGAGCAAGTAGGAGTGAAACAGCCAAGGCCAAGAGATGCCCACTCGTTCCCACCCAGTACTTTCACCAAGCACAATGCCTTTATGCAGGGCAAACACCTCCATGGTAATTTATAATATACACCTTTATATTTATCTTAGAAAAGGGGGATATATATACAAACTCTTGACTCTTCAGATTGCTTGTCTCCTTATATATATTAAGACTCCTGCCCTGAAACCTCACTGGAAAATTCTGTACCCAGATGAACCACAGAATGCTGCACATCAAACGGTCCTCTGAATGGAAAGTCAGTCTCATGCAATGAGAATTTCATACTTTGAGAAAAATGGGTCAAAAAACAAATGTCAGAAATTGCAAATTTCTCCCATGGAGCATCTCCAATGTAACTCAAACCTTTTAAAAATAAGAGTGGTGAATTATTCAGTTAAATAATTGATTTTTTTTTTTTTAAAGCAAACTAACTTTAGAATAGTTTTTGAGTTTTACAAAAAAGTTGAGTTCTTCCTATTGTTAACATCTTTTATTGCTAAGGTGTATCTATCATAAATAAGGAGCCAAAGTTGATACATTATTATTAACTAAAAGTTCATACTTTATTCAGATTTCCTTAGTTTTCTCCTTTTTCTATTCCAGGATCCTATCCAGGATACCACGTTACATTTAGTCATCATATATCCTTTGGATCTTCTAGACTTTAACAGTTCCTCAGACTGACTTTGTTTTTAACGACCTTGACAGACTTTAAGAATACTGGTCAGGTATTTTGTAGAATGTCCCTCAATTTGGGTATGTCTGATGTCTTTCTCATGTTTAGACTAGGGTAATGGGCTCCAGGGGGGAGGAAGACCAAGGGGTATAGTGCCATTCTCATCACATAATACTGTCACAACATGAACACTGTTGATGCTGACCTTGAGGCCAAGCTTCTCCACAGGAAAGTTATGCTTTCTTATCCCCTTTCCACACTGCACACTTCGGAAGAAAGTCACAACGTGCAGCCTGTACTTCACTTAAGGAGTGGGAATTATAGTCCACCTCCTGACAGCAGAGTATCTATATAAATCATCGGGAATTTTGCACAGGAGCTTTCTCTATTCTCATCCATTTATTTATTCAGTCATTAATGTCAGTATGGACTGCTGGATATTTTATACTCCGGGATATAATTCAATACTGCACTATTTATTCTATTGCTGAAATCACTGAGGGCTCCTCCAAATGGCTCCCATGTTCTGTTGATATACTCCTATTGTTTTGTTTGTTGAGCACTTCCCTTACTTTCTGGCACCACAAGATGCTCCAGGCTTACTTATCTACCCATAGAGATCAATCATTTCTCTAAGCCATTTCTCTTGTTCTTTTTATTGGTATTAGAAACCAAGATTTGGGTGCTGAATGAACTGCTCTCTTTCCTTTTTTTTTTTTTTAAGACTTATTTATTTTAGAGAGAGAGTGAGAGAGCTTGTAGGGTGGGGGTGGGGGGCTGAGGGAGAGGGAGAATCCAAGCAGACTCCCCGCTGAGCGTGGAGAGCCCAATGTGGAGCTCGATGATCTCATGACCCTGAGATCATGACCTGAGCTGAAATCAAGAGTCGGATGCTTAACTGACTGAGCCACTTAGGCGCCCCTGAACTGCTTTATTTCTATAAATAACTTATTTCCTGATTTCAAAAATTCACTGTAGGAAATTAGAAATAAACAAAAATATACAAAGAAAACAAAAATCACTTATAGCTTAACCACTAGATGTAACCAATATTATCATTTTGATGTGTGCTTACCAATCTTAAAATAACATATATTTATAAACTTGGGATCATGCCGGTTAACTATTTTGTTAGTTACTTTAGATACTTTATCTATAAAGATACTTTACCTATAAAAGA